ATTGACCATAGTTAAGATTAAACTCAGTTTAGACTTAATCTGTTGTGCTGCAGATCTCCTCATGGTCATGGTCAGGGGAGTGGGGAGCACCTGAGCCACAGATAAATGCACATGATAGTAAACAATTGTTTCTCATAAGTTCTGAATCAGGCCAGTGTGTAATTCTGTCTGCTTGCCTTCTAAAGTTTCTGAGAAACTCTGATAATAAGGGAAAAGTTCTTCATGGCTTGTTGTGCATATGGTCTCACATCTTGATTTTGTAATTGGCTCAAAACAATCTGGCTTATTACTTGCCTACAATCTTATTGGTTGCTCAGCTCACAATCCTAAAACTGACCTCAGGCATGACTGGTATGGACATTTGTAAGATGATTTAAGAAACAACTGTAAATGTTAAACTTCCTCCTTGCTAGAACTATCTCTGCTAATCTGCTTACAATTTAACACCTTCCTGGATAAAACTGTCCCTTAACATATTTTTTAAAGTAGTCTTCAATTTCTTGATCTCATTCCTATCCACTACCACTCACTCCCCGAATCTCAATTGATAGATACTCTAAAATCCTAGAGTATCTTACCATGGCCTTATTAGCCCTTCGAGGAGACTTGTGTCACTTGAAAGTCTGACAGATTTATTCTGGCATAAGCTTCTGTGGACACTGTCAGATGCATCAGATTCACACAGTGCTCACCAGAAGCTTATGCCAAAATAAAGTTGTTAGTCTTTTAGGTAGCACAGGATCCTTTGCTATTTTTTCCAGCAACAGGGCCACCCCTCTCAAAAACATGGACCTTTTGACATCCTTCCAGACATTAACTCCATTCTATTTCTGTTCCTCAAAACATTTCCAAAGCCAATTAATTTGTTGCAGTACTCACTTCCCTATATTCCTGGAGTTTCTTTCTGAGTACTGGGAATTCTATCAAATACGACAGACAAATCTTTTCACTAGGCTGGTTTCCTATGTCAGCTGAGCTATGATGAGAGCATAATATGTTGCATAAGGTCTCAGGTCCAGACTACACCTGATGCAAGAGACTTTACTTAAAAGAAGTTATAGGAGCCCAAATTAGATTGGGGCCATGGAGCTGGAGGAGAAAATTTAATCCGTTGCTGCTATGACATTTTCTTGATTTCAGTTGCTATCCTAGAGCTATTATCCATCATGCAGCAAAAAAACAGGTACCTGTATTAATTTGTACTTGTCTATTCCACTTCCCAATAATGATTTAAACTGGAGAAATGGTGTATGAGCAATGGATTAAACTATCCTCCAGCAGCAGCACAAATTAGGGATCTGCAGCTACTTTTGAGTAATTCCTGATGCCATGTGCAGTTTTTTCTTGAGATAGTGAGCTGTGGATCAGGTTAGCCCCGGTCTGAATCTTGCCTTTGGAACAAACTTACAATGCGTATTTAGGCACTTTCCTCCAGACTCCTTGTAATTAAACTGGGTCAGTTTAGGCATTATAAAATAATGGTTTGGAACAGGCTTGATCAGTCTAAAGTGCTATATGCTTGCTAATTATTATTTTCTTTACTTCCAAATGGACACTTATCTCTTTCATAACTGCACTTATTATTATTCAGGATCTCAGTGATTCCAAACTAACACAGCCCTTTTAAAGGACTCAAGCCACTGGACCACAATCCTGTTGCCTTATCTGCACACATGCACACACAAGCACATTATAGAGCATCCTGACTGGAATATTCACCTCACATTGATCCATTTCCTCCAGTGAGGTTTTTGCCATAGGTTCATGCTTCCCATTCCTGAAGCATCTTGTTGTGTGCACATACCTGCTGACACTTCCCCCTTCCTCTCTTCACCAACTCTTATTCCAACAAACTTTTGTCCTTTCCTGTTGTGCTCCTCCTGAAGCTATCTTCATCTCCCACCAGCAGTCAGACCAATTTTCCCCTGTCAAATCCTTTCACATCTAATTCCCATTCACAGATCCTCTAGTTAAATTTCCTCATTCGCAGCACCATTCCTTTCTGTACCTCCCTCCGGTTATCCTCCCCATCCTTGTAGTCCCTTCCTTTATCCTCTCCCCTTGGTTTGAGACTCCATACCTAGAAAATATGGGTTGATTTAAGGACTCTTGAGCACATTTAACTTAAATTCCCCTTCCCTGTCAGTATGAATTTGTATCATAATTCTATTTTGGATGCATTTGTACCTAGCTGGCTGCTTGTGTTTATTTTGAAAATATTATTCCTTCCTTCCTTCAAGGAAAATAAAGTTATTGACTTGATGGTGACATTCAAAACTGCACAGAAAACAGAATGGCATTCAGCATGGTATTTTCCCAGTGCAAAATCTTAAGGGACATCCGGCATTTCAGTTAGATTCAGTTCATATAACACCCATTAACAGAATTGATTGGCTTCAATGAACAGACATGAATCTGTTCATTGCAAGTGACAATAATAAAGATTCAGACCCACAGTTCAAAAGGAAAAGCAAAGAAAGGAACGGCAAACCTTCTGATTCCACTGCAGCCTTTCAACACATTCAAGGATTCCTGGATGAATCTTTTGCTGTTTGCAGATATAATTAGCAATTAATTTTGTAGCTACAAAGACACCTGGAAATATCAACATGCAAAGTAAAAACAGGCAAGGGCTATATTTTGAAATAATTAGATGCAGATGGATGATAATTTAGTCTGCTGTTGAACCTAATCTTCTCTCTCCACAGGCACCCTCAGCTGTCCATGCCCTTGCCAGTCAAGGACAAAGGTATCTCCTTACCTGGGATGGATGTCCACAAGCAGCACGAGGGTCTGCATAGTTATCACGTCAATCCTTTTACAGTGAAAGCGTGCCACCTTCAGTACTTTTAAATATGTGAAACACAAAACTATGAGGGAGAGGAGGAAGCTGAGGGAATGAAATACCCCCGTGAAGATCATGAACTGTGCCCTGTCCTCCAGGTTCTTGTTGTACAGGGTGCAGGAGGCATAAAGATGATGGAAGCCCACCCAAGAAAGAGAAGTTGCCACTATCGGGAAGGACACCGAATGCAACCACGTGTAGCTCAGGATGAGAGCAGCATCTTTGTAGCGCATCTTGGAATGGTAGTTCAGCGGAAACACCACAGCGATCCACCTGTCTATGCTGAGAGCTGCCATGCTCAGCATGGAGTTGGTGGTCAGGAAAGTCTCAAGAAAACCCACGATCTGGCAAAGTTGGTCTCCTCCCGGTGGATTCTTGTAAATGATCCCAGCCAGGGTCAGGGGCATGTTCAAAACAGTCATCAACAAGTTGCAGAAGGTCAGGTTGAGGATAAACAATCCCGGGACTTGCTTGCGGATATCTGCACTGTATAAAAAGCAGATCAGCACCAGCACGTTGGACAGCAACGACACAAGGATGAGCACCACAATCAAGAAAGCCAGAATCACTTCCCAAATGTTCATGGTGCCTCCATTCACGGGAGGAACATTTCCAAAACTGCACCCAGCTGGCATCCAGAAAACGTGGGGCGAGGCACTCTCACACCCTCCTCCCCCTCCCCAGCCTGCTCACACTCCTGCATGCCCTCAGTATTTTTAGAAGAGCTACAGTTTTTTCTGCTGCTGCTTCTTTCCACGTCAGTGCTTTTTAGAGACATGCACAAAAGCATTGGGAATGCCCGTCAAACTATGAGGAGGCTTTTTAAAACAAAAATATCAGCAGGACCAAGCCACAATCTCCCTCTAAAGAAAGCAGGATATTCTGAGCAGCGGCTCTTCTGAGATCCCCAATTATTGGTCCTAAAGCTTCTCAGCAATTCAACCAGGATTTTTATTCTTCTCTCTGTGTGTCTCTCTCTTTTGCTCTCACTCTCTCTCCCCTCCTCCCACCTACACGCTTCCAGGCTGACTCTAACCTGCTTTTATGAGTGCAGATAAATCCCCCATTAATGGATTAAAGCGTGCACACTGCTGGTGATTTGCTGGCATGATTAACTCCCCGTCTTCCTTTTGCTCCCCTGACCTCTCCCAACTGACACCTCCCTGATTTTGGGGGATCTGAAGTCTAAAAAGAAATACCCCCATTAGTTTAACATCTTTGGTAAGGTATCTTTTCTCCCATCTCCCAGTCACATATTCCAGCATTCAGACTGCCTTTTTATCCCCCGCCCCAGTGCATCCTTAAAAGGCATGTCTCTTCTTTTATTTATGTTGACTAGGCTGGCTCCAGCGAATGCCGAAGACTACACACACGCAGACACACCTTTGCTGTCACAAGGTTCCACTTCTTTTGTTAACTAGGAACTTCTTAAACAAAAGAGATCAAGTCTTCTCTCACCCAAGGGGGAAAAAACAAAAACATCCAGGGACAGCTGAATCTACCTTTTTGACCAACATAAATGCTGACCTAGAGAATGCTTATTTACAGTCCTCTGAGGACTAAAACTAAGATCATGAAGATTGATATAATTTATCTTATGTGCATCTGATGGTGTTTTCCCAAGAGTCATTTTTGGCAATTTTAAAGGAGACCAAAAATAAAAATATAAAAAATATAAAAAGGAAGGTGACAGAAGTATGAGCATAAGGTGGAGTCTTAGAGAAGGAGAGAGGATTCCACTCTTGACTATTGGAAAACCTGATCAAGGTATTCTGCTGATTCAGCCTCTTTGAATTGACTATGCAATCTTTTGCAGCTGCAAGGGACTAGTAACTTGATATTTAATAAATCCTCAAAGCCAATTTTGCTTAAATAATTGCCAAGTAAATATTTGTCAAATAATAAGGCAAAAATTGGGCTCTGGGGTTTTATTACCCTATGCATTAATTACTATGTTTATTGTCTTTATACTTTCATAGCTTTAACAGATATGTTTGTTGCTGAGTAAGACTTCAGCTGAAGCAGTTAATCAACTGCTTCAGGTAGTTAAAGGGTGGGTGCCTCCATTAATCAATATGGACATTCACATTTCAGAGGCAGAATTATATTGCATTGTTTAGTTTCTAGGCTTCTACCCACAACATCTTCAACATTAACTTCGTAAGTTGGAAGTCCCTACCTGAAAGAGATGCCTGACAATTTACTATTCCTCTATAATAGTTACGCCTGCGATCCTACTTTTTTGAGCATCAATTTCCCATGAAGAAAACTTCTGTATCCTTCAATAAACTCTCTAAATCTACCAGAATATCCCACCCACTTTGGATGTTATGCAGAAGTGGCAGGGAGTGGACAGACTGGGGAGGTTAATGAGAGCACATCAAAATATCTGAATCACAGGGAAGGATTTCTCTGGTTGAGGAGTGTGTGTGTGGTATCTGAGTGTGATATTTGTGTGTCTGTGTATGCAAGAGAGAGAGGAAGCTTATGGTAAGATTTTGAGTAGAGTTCAATCCTGAGTGAATGAGTGATCTGTGAAAAAGCAACGGGTGGGGCAGAGGCCTGTTTGATAGGAAGGATAGAACAATAGCAGCTAAAACATGGAAGTTGTGAGACATACCTGAAGGCATGCTGCAGTCCTGTATAACCATATGCCACATCAGAGAGAGAGGTGCTTTGTTACCTCTCCCATTACTAGGTGGCTGTGGCTAAGACACTTTGGAAGCTTTTGCTGAAAGGGAGGCCAGAAATTGAATCATCATCGTCATCATCATCATCATCATCATCATCACCATCCTTGCTCTTGAAGCTTCTACTCTCATCCTGAAACTGGGGAAAAGAACAACTCAGCCTACGAGTGACCTGTTTTGCAGCTGTCGGCCCACCTGTCCTCAGGGCTTAAAGAGCATGGGTGCAGCAAGTAGCATGTACTAGCTATTGTTATTCTTCCTTGTGAATTATTGGTGCCCAGGTTATCATGAGGTCTTGGTTGGGTTTAGGCAATTAAAGGTAAACCAGGTTTTCTGCCATATAGTTGCTGCCTTTAGATGTTCTACCCTTGGGAGATTTTATTTTTCCCCAAGAGAGAGAGACCTTTCAGAGAAGATTCAAAAATCAAATCAATTCAGCTGCAGCAGCAGCCGCCGCAGCCACCCACACAAACCTTTGACTAGGAAGTCTTCTGTGGGTGGATCTGTGGGGGTGGGAGGCACTGCTCTTTCCCGTGGACAGCTTCTGTGCATTGCTTGAGCTCTATTCCACACGGCCAATTAGATGTCAAACTATATTCGTTTTCAGTTGTGCTGTGTTTATGCATAACCACTTTGAGTATATTCATGGAATAGGCGCATGTATCATCTCTCCACATGACCCTGCTTCCTGGGTTTCTCTGAAAGGTCCAACATTTAAACAATTGATTATATTTCTCAGTGCATAAAAACAAAATAGAATTAGTAATGGAAACATGTAGATTCCTATCATGAAGAAATGGATGTTTCCGGATGTCAAGAATTCCACTTCCTCTGTCTGCAGCTGGTTTCTCTCTTTCTCCCTCTTAACAGAAGTCTTCCAGCCTGCAGTGTGAAAATCAGCTGAGCAGTTTACAGATCAAACTTATGGCTATTGGAAGGATATCCCAGGGGCCCCAGAGGGGGAGATCCGCAAACCCTTGGAAGCCTTGTCTGTATCGCCACTGGCCCTTTGGCACAGCAGCTCCATTGCGCCCCCACCAGCAGAACTCCAGCGGTGGAGAGGGTGAAAATGAGACACCCCCACAAGGAATAGGTGAGGCGCAGGATCCACATTCTCCTGCATGCCCCAGGATTGGTGGGGGGGGGGAACTACATCAACTCCAATATTTGCCAGTTGATTATTCCATGTATAACCATAGTTACCCACAGCAACAGCAAAGCAGAGACATGGCTGCAGAAAGATAAAGGGTGAACAAGCCACTCTGATCACTTCATCATATGCATAATCTACAACAACAGTTTTGTTTTGTGTTTTAGGATCACTGCTTGATCTTTTTTTTTTTTTTTGAGCAGCATTTTGATTATGCACACCAGCACCCAAGTCTATGAGTTGTTTGCTCATCTGCTCAGCAGCATCCTGTCAGACATTCCTTCCAGCAAAGGTCTAAGAAATCCTTTCCTGGAACTGCCATACAGTTTGCATGCCCATGCACATGCACACGTGCAAGCACACACACACACACATACACACACAGAGGTATGTGAATAATATACTCTATTTTTGGAGTGCTCAAATATGGGAACATTTGTGGAAGCTAGTACAGTTTATTTCTCTCCCAAAAAGTTTAACAGGCAGGGGGGAAGCCAGAAGGAGAAAAAAAAAACCCCACAGTGCCCCCTTTCCTTCACTTAGGTGGCTGCCAGCCCACATAAAAGGGCATTTCATCTACTTTTTCATCTTCCTGTTTTGCTCTATTGGATTGCTCAGACTTTGATTTTTTTTTTTTACAATAGCAAAGTATGCATTAAATGCTGGATGAAATCATATACTATAGTTGCATCCTCTGCTCCAAGTATCAAATTGTAGGAATGACTGTTGGTACAAATATATTATAGAACAAAGATGCAGGTTCTATTTCAGCCTGAGGACCAAATTCTCTTTCAAATAAATTCTCATAGGCTATATTCCAATGATAAACAGAGCCCCCCCCCCGCCCCCACCACCACCACCAGAGAGAGAGAGAGAAAGAGAAAAGGAGGGAGAGATGCAAAGTGGTGGGGACAAATTGCCAAAAATACCAGCGTATTTTATTATAAAGCTGTTACTGCAATGCTTCATTTTTCCAAGCTAATATACTAGTTTTGTCCTGAAATCAAAATCATGGATCACCTCTGAAGTGATCCATGTTGATCTGGTCCCCTTTCAACTAAGGTTGGATCCACACTCAATTTTGCCTTCAGTGCACACCCTTACTGGTTAGTTCATCAGTAAAGTTTTCTCAAATGTCTGTGAAGTCAGACAGTCACACAAATGCTTTCCTTACATTGTGCAAAGATAGCAGTCAGAGTTATTTCTGGACATCACTTTCATTTTTTCATAGTTATTGTGTATCTTTTTATGCTGACTTCAGAAAGTACACATAGAAATGTTTTTGTTCCCACTGTGGGTGGGTGAATGTTGTAAATGGCCAGGTGGGAAAGCTTAAAACTATTCTACCCCAGTGTGGTGGTCCCAATCCAGACTGAGGGCCTGGACTGCTAAAGTAAATGAGATGGCAAGAATTGGTTGCATGCTATACATTTCACTGAGCATGTAGATTAGCCAACAGACTGGAGAATTTTGCATGTTTCTGGAGGTAGCATACATGGCAACAACTTTTTACAAGCAGACCTTGTGTTACTAATGCAAAATGAACATGGGATGGCCAAAATTGCAATCCAAAGCCTCTGGAATTCCAGCTAGGTGGAAGGAAGCCATCTTGAATACTGCAGTTTCATCATTTTGATACTGCTATTTTTAAAACAGTGATACACGGATGGATGGATGGATGGATGGATGGATGGAGATTTCTCTTGGGTTGCCAACCTGAGCCATTAAATGCTATGATGGGAGTGAGAATATCAAGTACATCTGACCTTCTGGAGAGAGACGAGGGCTGGGGATA